AAAAAAAAAATACGATTAGGCCACTCAACCTTTCAAATGTATGCAATTTCACCTGATAGCAGGTTAACATTCCATCTAGCAGGTTGCGTGTTGACATGGACGATGACTTGGCATTTTATTTTTTAACTACTACTAATACTACAAGTCCAAAATTATTATTATTGCTGTGAAAAAATGCCACATAAATAAGGGTCCTGTTTGGTAAATGGTAATTAGCTGTTAGCTGATTGGGTTAATTAGAGAGTAAAACTAGTTGATAATATTAGTTGATTGTAGAAAGGTGTTTGGTAAATTAATTGTTAGCTTATAGCTGTTTGGTATAATTTCTTTTCTCAAAAAACTATTAAAAAAGTTTCTTTGAGCAGCTCTTTTAATTTTAACATTTTGGAGTTACAAAAAGCTAATTAATCAAACACTTATATTAATTTTTTTTAACCAAATCATAAAGCTAATAGTGATAAAATAAGTCAAAATTAACTTATAGGCTAACTATTTTATCAAACAGGGCCAACGTGATTTTTACTTATTTGGGTGTCAATTATTTGTGTATATTTTTTTAAATATTTTTAATTTTGTAATCTAACTCTATTTTTGTATGTAGTTTAGTAATTTATTTGACTTTTTTAAAAAAATGTTTAAAGAGTCCGGGAGTGTCCAAGTATGGTCCGTGTTGAATAGACACATTATTACAAGTAGATAGAATTAGGTGATCGAAATGAGAGTTAAATAACAACCTAATCACATCTTAGCTAAAATGTAATTAGGGATGGCAATGGGTCGGGTGTGGGTCGGGGAGGGCTACATCCATCACCCGACCCACCTTATATTTTCTCCACCCACCCCCACCTCCAACCCGCATCGAGTGGACTTTTTCAGAACCCACCCCCACCCCCACCGAGTGCAGGTGCCCACTACGGGTACCCACCACTTATCATCTTATTATGTTTTTTAAAAAATAATATTTAAATTATTTACACATAATAAAAAAATAAAATCCATTAGTGATACTAAAACATAAATAATGGAAATATTTAAATATAATAACTAAATTGTTAATTTTTAAAAATAAACTTAGTAGTTTTGATATAAAAAATAGTAAAAAGATACACGGAGTTATATAAATTATTATAAATAACTACATACTAGTATTTATTTTACTATTATATATATATACACACACATGGTGGGTCGGGTGGGGTTCTAGGCGGGTCTTGTACATAGAACCCGAATCCAACTCGACCCACCACGGGTTTTCTTTTTTAAGACCCACCCCCGACCCACCACCCACCATCACCCAAAAAAACCCGATCCATGCGGGATGGATTCGGGTGGATATTCACGGGTCGGATTGAAATTGCCATCCCTAAATGTAATTAAGGTGTCATTGTCGTTGCTGGAGCCTGGAGCGAGGCATCTTAATGATAACCCTTGTCGTTAGTTTTCGGCCTTCGTTGACCTTTTTGATCCCATGCAAAGGCGAATTAACGTGAAAGTAATAATACATGCATAAAAATTCCCATTGTATATGATTATTACACACTACCCACCTACATAATTTTATCCTTTAAGTTGAAGCATGTTTCGATTAAGCTTTTATTATGTACGTATAGTACCAAATGACGAGCCATTATATTAGATAGCAATGTTCCATAAAATTATGGGTTTGATTGATTTCTAACTTAATCTTACCCTTATCAAAGCATGAATCATATATGGCACTTGGTTGCATGACATATTGGGGTGTTTGGTAAATAGTTGTTACTTAATTGAGTTAGTGAGTTTGACTAATTGATAGCATTAGCTGATTGTAGAAAAATGTTTGGTAAATTAGCTGTTGATAACTTATTACATACAAAATGACTTTCTCAAAAAACTACTTTGAACAGCTTTTTGAATTTTAGTTTTTTGGGCAATAAGTGTTACAAAAAACTAATTAATCAAATACTCATATTGGTTGTTTAACCAAGTCAAACAGTTAATTAATAGTGATCAAATAAGTCAAAATTGACTGATAAGCTAACTATTTTACCAAACATGGCCATTATTGAACAATTCATTATAGAACAATTCATTATAGTTTGACTTTAGTTGATTTGCTGGCCAACTAAAGGCCTTGACTACTAACATATATAGCTAGTGTCTTTTACATTAGAAGTTGTTGCTTATTCACACTTGCAATAATTCATAAAACAATTTCTCTTCATAACCTCTTGCCTGGAGTTGTTGTGGAAGCGATAATGATGGTTCAAATTTTTCAAGATAATTACTATCCATGCTTTAAAAAAAATAATAACAATAAGAGAGAGAGAGAGAGTAATGAGTGAAAGGATTTTTTTTTTTTTAATTCAATATAATTAGACCCCACCCACCCACAGACACCACATAATTTTCTTAGAATTGAAGCATGCATGTTTCAATTCAATTAATATTTAATCTATCATATTTAATTTGTGTCTTTCTATTCAAAAATTGGATGGAAACATCAAACATGCATCTTATTTCGACCTCATCATGGATAACTTGCTTCTGAAAAAAAGAATTTACTAATTAGCTTTGAAAATGCTGGAAAAGCGAAAACACTTTTTGGAAAAACATGTAACTAACCTAACGTTGAATTTAGAAGGATTATTGAGTGATGGATACCTATTGTTTTGGATGTATTTGAGAATTCCAAAAAGGGAATAAGGTTCAAATTGGCACTGAATGTAACCTTAAAATGTAATTAGGTCACTGGACGAAAAAAAAAAAAAAAAAAAAAAAAAAAAAAAGAGCAATTAGGCCATTGAACACTCTAAATGTATGCAATTTTACCTGATAGCAGGTTAACATCAATTTTAGCAAGTTACTTACTTGCGTGGCAGCTGAGTTGACATTTTTAATAATTTTTAAATAATTTTTAATAAAAAATTTTTAAAAAAATTAAAAAAATAAAATAAAATAAAACAACGGGGTGACCGCTGTCGTTTAATTTTTTATTTTTTTATTTAATTTTTTTCAGTTTTTTTAAATTAATTATTAAAATTTATTAAAAATTATTAAAAATGCCAACTCAGCTGCCACGTAAGCAGGTAACCTGATAAAATTGATGGTAACCTGCTATTCGGTGAGGCAAATTATGTTGTGCATCCGTATGCACCATGCATGGTGCATATGGATGCAAAAACGACATCGTTTTATTAAAAACGCGCGTCTCCCCTTAAAAAAAAAAAATTCAGGTTCGATTCCCAACAACAACATATGAACTAAAATTCCAGAATCGATGAACTATAATTCCAGAATCTATGAACTAAAATTCCAGAATCTAATCTATGAACTAAAAATTCCAGAATGAATGAACTAAAATTCCAGAATCTATAAACTAAAATTTCAGAATCGATGATTCCAGAATCAATGAACTAAAATTCCATAATCTATGAACTAAAATTCCAGAATGAATGAACAACATAATGTTGTTGCTGGGAATCGGATCTGATTTTTTTTTAAGGGGAGACGCGCGTTTTTAATAAAACGACGTCGTTGTGCATACGGATGCACAGCATAACTACTCATCCGGTGAAATTGCATACATTTAGAGTGTCCAGTGGTCTAATTGCATGTTTTTTAAGTGTTCAGTGACCTAATTATACTTTTTTTTTTTCGTTCAGTGACCTAATTGCATTTTCAGGTTACGTTCAGTGGACAATTTGAACCTCATTCCTTCCAAAAAAGTAATGACCCAATTTGTACTCATAGTATCAAAATTTTCGCATTTAAAGATGATTGGTCGTTGATACTCTACCAATAAAACGAATAAATATTACTAGTAAGGTTTTGCGTAATGTCAAAATGATGTGTTGAATTACTTAAAAAAAGGTATCTGGTCTTGCTAATTAATATTCTCTCGATCGAATTTGTTGCATAAAACTTTTTAATGTGGTTTACTACCTCTCCAATCGTATATAAATTTGTGACGATTACACAAGAACAAAATTTACCTAATACATACTTTCAGATAATTAAGGATCGCAACATGTTGGGTAATATCAAGTACTATACCCAACTCTCAAACCTTTACGGGACATTTGGTTGGGGGAATTACAATTTCATACCCACATATTCCGAAGGCAAACAAATTCCTTTGTTTGGTTGGAGGGAATTATAATTCTGTGGAATTGAAATTCTCTCATTTTCATGGAATTAGAATCTCATTCTCCCCTTGGTATTTCATCAATTCCATGGATTTTAAGAAGAAAAAATAAATAATTTTGAGACAAAATTATCCCTCCTTTTTTAACCTAAAATTGATGTTTGACCTCTCTCTTTCGATTATAGCATATTTTCTTCTTCTACTCTCAACACAAAACATCAATTAGTAGGCCAACGCCTCAATCAAATATGTTTTCTCAAAACTCTCTTATCTATTTTATTGCTTTCATTCTGCAATTCTAAGCTTTATTTATCGCGTGTTACATAAATTTTCAAAAGCATAATAACAATAATAATAATAATAACAATGCCAAAGACCTTGTGGTCAACCAGTGGAGAAGGCAACTGCCGTGTCTTCTCCAGTGGAGAAGACGACCAATCCGGTCTGGTCGTCTTCTCCATTGGAGAAGAACGACCAGCAATGGAGAAGAATGACCGGCGAAGGTGGTGGTCATTTTTTCGGTGAAGGTGGCCGTAAGCTGAGCTTTCTAGGCGGTGAATAACCGGTAACGTATTGGTTACCGGTAAACATGGTCTATTTGATCTATTTTGACAAATTTGAGTGTTTAATTATTGAACATTTTTAATGTTGCATTTTGGGTACGGTAAAATTTGAGGGCTTATTTGACCCTTTTTTCAACATAATAATAATAATAATAATAACTTATTAAACTCACCCAATTTTTCTTGTGATAAATTATTTTCATGGTGTGGTCTACATCTATAAAATGCATGCATGATTGAAGTAAAAGTATTTCCAAAATTGAACCATTTATTATTAGTGATAAGCATGTATCTTCCAAGTGAAGACCTTATACTCTAAAGACTTAAGTTAATGATATTATTTAAAAAGAAATAAATGAAAGTACAATATATAGCTGATGAATAGTAAAACCTAAAAAGCATAAAATATCTCTATTAGCTTGCTGCCTGCACACAAAGTAATTGCATGGCTACAATAACAACTAAATCATAGTTATTCCAAAATTCCACCTACAAAATAAACTTGAAAAAGGCCAGCCAGCAGATCATGTAAAGCTTGTAATATGTTGTTGTATATTCCCTATCAATCATCTCATTTGCGCAAATCAATGATATTATGACTGTTTGCTCCAAACAAATTGTATGCTGGGTTGCCTGTTGTCTTAGGATACTGATGATCTCCCTTAACCAAAACATTAAGATCTTCAAACAGCCTGTATGGTGGGATGAAAGACTTCTGTTCAGGAGAGGAGAGACCCGTTGTGGCGCTGACTTGTGCATTCCCATTGTTTCCCATAGCTGGGAACGAGTTGGCCGGGAGGTGAGGAGAAGATGAGCTCGTGGCGGGTGGTTGTGGGGTTGATGAGTACATGTAAAGTGGGGGGAATGATTGGTTTGATTGGCTGAAATAGCCTGGAGTTGGAGCCCAGGGTGGTGTATAGCCAGAAGAGTTCTGAGGAAACTGACCATTCGATTGGTAATGACGAAACTGAGCATTGGATTGGGGCATTTGCTGGAACATGGACAGGGAATGGTGCTGAAACTGAGGATTTTGAGCAAAAGTTTGCATCTGGGGTTGGGGCTGAGCCCAGGGAGCTACATAGCTCTGATGTCCAGGATAAGAATGAGGGGTGTGTGGATTCCCAGGATTGAAAGAAGAAACCGGGGCCTTCTGGTTCATGGTTTCTGCAGAAGTGGGAACAGGAGTTCCGGGGGTGTCTGGGGGCAAGCTCGACGACAGGGTGATGCTCAATTGTTCGATTATCTCCTGCTCTTTTGTTGCCTTGGTAGGCTCAGGGGGATCGATAACAATCAATGCACTCATGGCTGGATCCAAGGGCTTTCCCTCGCCTTCTCGGGGAGCTGCAGGGCTCGTTTTCGAGCGTCTGAAGTTGCAACAAATAAAAGTTTAGGATGAGGGACACACCAAAAGAGCAAAAAGATTGGTTTTTTAGTACCTTTGAACCAGCCCTCCACAGTCCTCTTTCTTGCCATCTTCCTCTTCATCCAAATGTGCACTCACTGGTACAAGGGACTTAGCATCTGCCTCAGTATCAGATGTGTCAGCTCTCCCGCCTTCACGAGTATAAGATGTCTCACCCCTCCCGCCTTCACGAGTATAAGATGTCTCACCCCTCCCGCCTTCACGAGTATCAGCTCTCCACCTTACACGAGACTCAGTCGTTGGATGCTTGATATCCTCGACGGGATTTGGTAAGGCAGTACCAGACGCTATGGCATCATGCTTTCCAAGCACACTTTGCAGGATATCGTTCAAATCAAGGCCCCGTTCTAGAAGCCCATCGTCCCTGACAGAAAATCGGGTTTTGGGGAGGCATTGATACAATGATACAAGAAAAACACAGAACCAACAACATTTGAACTACTAGGTTAGAAGCTTTACCTGTTTGTTGTTAACATATCAATCAGTTTCTTCTGATTGGCACGACAACGCTCAACAAGATCCACAATAACTTCATCTTTTACAGCCTAGAAAAATAGGGGAATAAAATCACGGTTTCTACTGGCAATATGCACTAGGTTAGAGCGAGACAAGGAGTGAAACATACAGCACGGTCGCCTGGTTTCACAGCCAGCAGCATTTCAGCTAAAAGATCAACAATACTCCTCATAGAACTTATGGTCGACAAACTGTGAATCCAAGAAAATGAGTGGAAAATTCACGGCAAAGTGAATCAAAGAACATAAACACACCTCCAAGACTAACATTCACCGTACCTTAACTTCTCCATCTCAGCCACCATGTTGCCATCATGTCTAGTCGAAGAATTACTTGGCATTTCATACTCTAGCTGGGGCTGGTGTACAAGATGAGACATCGGTGGAGTGAAAATCGGAGCTGTATCATATGAACGTGGCGGGAATCCTACACCAGCAAGCTGCAACAAGTTCGAATAACAATAATGCAAGAACGAGAATCATTATCCACAAATGGTTTTTTCCACTCCATAACAATCTTTTCCGCCAAATAGTACTTATCTAGCAAATCCCAAAGCATAATAAAACCCACCAACAAAAACATAGATTTTTAATTAGAAAATCAAGAACCGAAAGCATACCTTCAGTTCTTGATACGCCCAGTAATACTGAGGAAATTTTCCTCCCGGGCCACCAAACGCCTCTTGCCAAGAGTCTATCAGTACTAGGATTTTATCTCTCACGTGTGTATCCATCTGCAAATCCGACAAAGACAGAAATGAAACACAGAAATGCATTTCTGAAAAAAAAAATATTGCATTAATTTCGAACACAGATCTTAAAGAGCATTGAAATGACACTTGCCGTCTTCTTTACAATTTTGACCATCTCTGTTAATATATTTCTTTCAGAAATTTGAACGTGCACAACATCAGAACAGTTTTTCACCATGGTCTCCACAAGCTAAAAGAAAGGTAAAGCCGAATATCAATAAACCATGAACGATACTTATAGCGACTAAATTTGTACTTAAATCCTGCATATTTCTACATGGATCCATACGTTTCTAAAAGCATATTACAATCAAACTAAACTAGAATAATACCGTTAAAGAAAGTAGCTGCACTTTAGGATTCTTGTTCTGCAACCTTTTCTTCAAAGATTTGAGAACATCTTTCGCCACCCTGAAAAGTGTAGCACAATGAGAGCACAACTTATGCCATTCTCGTAGAAAAACCAATCAGTTATCAGCTAATTGCCAAACAAATGCAAATAATGACAAGAAATACAGTGTGAAAGCAACTTAATAATGATCTAAATAATAAGATAGAAAAACAGCAAAATTGAGTTCACTTCTTTCCAAAAACACTTGAGAAGAATCATTTCTTCAAAGCACTATAATAGTGGACTGCAAAAAGGTTGCCACCCAATAAAAATTTAGGAAAATAAAAGAAATCAGGGAAAATTAGGCATTCATATATGAACCTGTTCCATTTATTCTCATCTGCAACCCAGCTTCAACAGAGAAGCTATGAGAATCTCTGGTTTTCAATAACCAAAATCATAACTTTAAAAAGAAATAACCTCTCTTATTGAGACTAGTTAAAGGTCAAAACTTTAATGATCTTCTAGATATATCAGAAATCATAATCATACAAACAAAAACCAGCTTAGCTTAAAAATACAAAATAAAACCAAGAGATATAAACAGAAACCTCTTTCTCCGTTCTATGTGCAAAATCAACAATCATAATTTCAAATCACACACAAAAATTATTAATTTCCAAAGAACTATTCTTACCCACGATTTATACATTATTCTTGCTTACAGCCATGAGGGAGGAAAAAAAATAATTAAGAAAATAACAACAGGAAAGTATAGAGAGCTGAAAATACCAACGACTGGTATTGATGATGTCGCAGATATCAATGTTCATAGGCCAGTCAGGGCCTGTCAAGAACTCACTCGTGGCCTTCTCCACTCGAACCACCACCGAAGATGATGTCGAATACCATGAAGAAGCAGGCGCCATAGCCAGTGAAGATATCATCTTTTTCTTCTTTTTTTTTTTTTTTTTTCAGATTCTGTGTTTCCTGAGAAAAATCACTGTTCTTGCGTGGAATGAGAAAGAAAAGCAGAAACTAATCTCTGGGTCTTGTGATTCTGAGTTTCACGGGAAAACACAAGGAAAAAAAAAGGCTCTTTGTTCCCGAGAAACGCTACGATAGTTTCTCGTTTGGGCCCTTCTGTTACTCTTGCGCTTGGCTCTAAGAGCTTTCTCGGTCTCTTCTCTCGCGTTTCATTTCTTTGCTTTTTCCAAATCTCGTTGTTATATGTCCTCTCCAGGAATTTCGTTTTCGTTCTCTGTTCCAGTGTCATCAACTCCCGTGAACATCTGCATTCACGCGCACTGCTTATTACACGCTACCCGTCACAGTTAGTCAGTTAGTGTGCATCATTTTTCTCCTCCAAATCTTTCTTAGGGATGGCAATTTCAATCCGACCCGTGGATATCCACCCGAATCCACTCCGCATGGATCGGGTTTTTTTGGTGATGGTGGGTGGTGAGTCGGGGGTGGGTCTTAAAAAAGAAAATCCGCGATGGGTCGGGTTAGATTCGGATTCTATGTACAAGACCCGCCTAGAACCCCACCCGACCCACCATGCGTGTGTATATATATATATAATAGTAAAATAAGTACTAATATGTAGTTATTTATAATAGTTTATTTATTTATTTTGTGAGCCTATATATTAATTTTGGTTTCGTACAAAAAATTTAGTCGGAATTATTTTTTAAATTAAATTTTATTTTGTGTATTGACTTATTCACCCGATAATAAATCTCCCTATTTTTTCAATAAATAATTATATATCCTAATTTTGTAGTTTAAAATTGTGTTGCATACAATAATGAATTCTCATAACAAATAAAATGACCTATTTATCATTTTATCAATCATTACACTGTAAATCATGATTTACATTACAAGTGAACTACTAATATATATATATATATATATATATATATGTTCGCGTGCGGTAGGCCTTCTCAGGTGTGATTGTGCGATTATTTTAAGTGCGTGGTTTTTTTTCTTAAGGTGCGCGATTTTCCTTCTTAAGGTGTGTGGTTTGTGTGCTTAAGGTGCGTCAGTGTCGAAACTTAAGGTGCGTCGACCTAAAACTTTAGGTGCGTTGTTTTCCTTCTTAAGGTGCGTAATTTGTATGCTTAAGGTGCATCATTTGTTGAAACCTAAGGTGCGCCATTTTTAAACTTTAAGTGCGTGGTTTGTGTTTTTGAGGTGCTTTGTTTGTGTGATTTCTGTTCTTAAGGTGCGTCGGCCTAAAGCTTTAGGTGCGCGTGGTTTGTGTTCTTAATGTGTGGTTTGTGTTCTTCATGTGTTTTGTTTGTGTGCTTAAGGTGCGTGGTATGAGTACTTAAGGTGCATCGGGCTAAAGCATTAGGTGTGTTGTTTTTCTCCTTAATGTGTGTGATTTGTATGCTTAAGGTGCGTCAGTTGTTGAAACTTAAGGTTCACCATTTTAAACCTTTAGGTGTGCGGTTGTGTTCTTAAGGTGCGTCTTTTTCTAGTTAACCGCACGAGAAGCTATACTCGCACTTGAACCCTTCCCTATATATATATGTGTATTAAGGATCCTTTGAGAACAATACCATATGAGAGAAATAAGAAACAATCTCAGTCCTATATTGGTATAAATTCGATGGATTTGATCAATTTTTTTTAAAAAAAATGCGGTGACATTTTCGTAATTATCATCAAACTTCACTATGTAAATTAAACTTGAACAATTAAATATGCAATATTTAACAACTAAATATGCAAACCTGGTAAATTTTATAAAAATTAACGAAAAGGCTAAATTTTAAATCTAAATCGTAAGTGTTAGACCGTAAGTGTACTAAACCGGATAAAACAAAAAACTCAGTCATAAACTCTAAAATCAAAATTCTAAGTGCAATGCAATTTCACACTTTTACAAGTACAATATTTTAATACTAAATTTGTAAAATGTTAATATCAAATGTGTAAAATGTTAATAGTGAATTTGCAAACCTGAGTAGTGTACAAAGACCCAAATTAAAAAAATAATAATAATAATAAATTATGTACTGTATTGTAGAATTTTTTATAAAACATAAGCAAGTTATATTGTTAGATATTAAAATTATTATGTATTGGTTATAAATAAAATGACAAAATAACAGTATGAATACAAAGAACCTATTGGCTTACGGCCGCGAAGTTTCAAAGAGCCAAAGATAATATATTTCTTCCCAATTTGGACCAAGTTTTATACTGTGGAAGCATAAGTTAAATATAATAATTTTAAGAAAATATGAGTATTCTTAATTGGGTGAATCAACGATTTGGTCCCTCACTTATTCGTGACTTGTCAATGTTGCCCCTGAATCACGTATTCATCGATTTAGTCCCCGAAAATAATTGTTTTTCGTCAAATCAGTCCCTATAGCCGTATTCCGTCAAGTCTCAGACGAGAGCTCAGATTTGCCCTGGGCATTTTGGTCTTTCACGCCTTCTTCTTCATTGATTCTGACCATGCTTTGCCGGAGAAGCTCAAGCTCGCCAGTGACCAAGTCTCACATCCTAAAGCTCCTCCGGCAAGCTAAGTCGACGCCGGAAATGCAGACCAAAGTTCTCCAAACCCTAAGGTCCCTCGCGTCAGAAAACGCGGCAAATAAACGCTGCATGGAGAACGCCGGCGTGCAAGGAGAATTCTTCCATTGCTTAGCTAGCAATTTGAGAATCTCAGCAGCTCTCTTGCACCACACTGAGAGTAGCAGAGAACTTGGCGATGGAGTACAAGATCCTCAGACCTCTCTCATTCGCCACCTGCGACACCCTCAGGATTTTCCTCGACACCACCGCCAGCCCCGCCGCGCACCGGCAAAGCTGCTCCAGTACGCTCAGACTCCACTCGCAATATTGTTTCTCGTTCGTGTCTAGCAGTAGATCGATCAGCACGGTCGCCGCCCCGATCTCCGCCGCCTTGATCCGGTTCCTCCCTCTCTGGCAAACGTTGGCCAGTAGGTGCAACGCGGATTTGGAGGCCTTGCGGGCGAAATTGTTTCGCAAGATTTGGACAACTTGGTGGAAAAAAGGAGGGATTTAAGGTTGTCGTGAGCTGTGATAACGAGGGGTTTAAGGTTGTCTGCATTTCCGACGTCGACTTGGTTTGCTGGAGGAGCTTTAGGATGTGAGACTTGGTCACCGGCGAGCTTGAGCTTCTCCGGCGAAGCTTGGTCAGAATTAATGAAGAAGAAGGCGTGAAAAGACCAAAATGCCCAGGGCAAATCGGAGCTCTCGCCTGAGATTTGACGGAATACGGCTATAGGGACTGATTTGACGAAAAACAATTATTTTTGGGGACTAAATCGATGAATACGTGATTCAGGGGCAACATTGACAAGTTGCAAATAAGTGAGGGACCAAATCGTTGATTCACCCTTCTTAATTACATTGTGATATAGTTAAGACGTCTCTTTATTTTTATTGTTTATATTTTTTAAATTATCAATTATGCTTTGAATAAGAATGATACAATAATTTATGTGATGAATCATCTCAATTTGTAACCTACTTTAATATTAAAACGATGGCCTAAATTAATAGTATAAATAATGTCTTAATATGACCATTCACAAATCAATTTTCTAATATTATTTTCTTGAGAATGAATATCATAGTTAAGACGTCTCTTTATTTTTATTGTTTATATTTTTTAAATTATCAATTATGCTTTGAATAAGAATGATACAATAATTTATGTGATGAATCATCTCAATTTGTAACCTACTTTAATATTAAAACGATGGCCTAAATTAATAGTATAAATAATGTCTTAATACCATTCACAAATCAATTTTCTAATATTATTTTCTTGAGAATGAATATCATTCAATATTTATTGTATATGACAAATATATAACGCAATACAATTTATAAATAGAGCTAAAAGATCATATTTTGATAAAAGCACATTAATACCTTAAAATTTTAATATTACTCCATAAATTATTAAAATTTATAAATGTTAAATTGTAAAATTAGTCATTAGGAATTTCACATGCTTAGACCTTTAATTAATAAGTTGAGAGAGACTTATGTCATCTAATTCACACTCTATAAAAAAAATTTAGTCATTACTGAAATTAGAAGAACATAGAAACACAGATCGATATGATGTTAAACCACAAATAATATAATCAAATAAAATTTGATTGATTCCACATCACAATTAACAAGAGATTATTCATATACATGTGTGAAGTGAAGTGATATGGCTTAGTCGTCACCCGACCTGTCCTGGTTAATTTCCTCAAGAATTACAACCAATGCCACTATGAAGGCATAATCAACGTTGGGATAAACTGTGACCCCGAAATGTTCTTTCCCCAGAAATATACTCCCTGCCGTGTGCTTCTTGTGCATCTGGGCAACAATGGCGGACGACTCTCCCGCGTATATCACGCAAGATCGTTCCAACCAGCTCCCCTTTATATGGAAATCACACACCTCTCCTTTGTTGCCCGCCAGGAACACATCCAGCTTCGTCTTCAGTTGAAACAGCGACGATTTCTTCACGCTGAACAGCAGATCTTTGGGATCCGTGCTCTCTCCCCTGAACGCTTGCCATCTTCTGTGAGCGGTGAATATCTTTTGCTGGAAAGTGACGATGGGGTGGTCCAGGGTGTCGACCAAGACGCGGCGATCGCGGAGGCTGAACAGTTTGCTTTTCACCTTGAACATGACGGTGCCGTTGACGTCGAGGATTTCGAACTTGCCTTCCTGGAGAGTCATCACCTTCCGCACCACCGCCAAATCCACCGGGTAGGGAACGATGAACTGTGGGCTGATCACCGCCGGCACCGACACCGGCTGAGGTGGGTACGAGGTGGAAACTTCGGTCATCATTGTGTGAATTGAAGGAAGATCGAGAGAGGTGAATTAGGATTGGGAATGATGTTGCGCCAATCCTTTTTGGGAAGAATTTATATATATATAAGAAACAAGGGGGGTGATTATTTAACGTTGTTAACTTAACCGCGTTGAATTGGCAGGCGGGAACCGGCGAATTGTAAACTAGAAGACGGGTTTATTTATACTATTCTACATCGTATTTGTCGTCAAATCTGAACAATTCTCGGAATGATAGTGATCATTGACCTAGTAAATCTGAGTGGTTTGTATCTAAACGTATTTATTGATGAGTTGAATTAGTCTTTTATCTAATATTCTATTAATCAGAATGAATAATTAATCTTATGCGATATAAATTAAATAAGCATGTCCATAACATAAAACATATTTCTCCTTACGGAACACATATTCAATTCCATCGTACTTTCCTAGTACGTACTACGTAAGTACGTAGGACGTTCATTCATTCATAACATGCCTGCAGCCTGCAGGCGCGGATCGAAGTTAAGTTACGTTATTTTTTTGTGTGGTTCATTCACATCACTAATATTTTGTTTTTATTATATACTAATAAGTGTCCCGCGATGCACAGACTATTATTAATTTAACAAATAAACAAATTACACTTTTGATCCTATGACTATAGAGAGTGTGTTAATTTCGCTTCATGACTTTTAAAAGTAACAATTTAGTCATTTAACTATGTTTTTTTAATAGATTTGGTCCTTCCGGCGAAATCACTGGTAAAAATTGGCCGAAAAAACTTAAACCTTTTTAATTTTTTTTTTATAGAGATAGAGATATAATATATAATATAATATATGTAATATTTTATAGAGATAGAAATAGATCAGGACTATGTGGTCTAATGGTACCCGGGTTGGATTTCCATTTGGAAGATTATGAGTTCAAGCTTCAGTTGAGGCGTTATTGGTTCTCCAGTAACTTCTAAAAAAATGTAATATTTTATAAATTAATTTAATAATTATATTGATGTTCATTTGATTTGTAATTAAAATTTCATGAATTTATAAAGTAATATGAATACAATAAATGCTTTCACACTTTGGAGGGAAGAAATTTTTCCTAATCATTTTGCTTTTATATATACTAGTAACTAGTAACTAGTAATTGTCCCTTGCGATGCACGAACTATATTATTAATTTAACAAATTTACCAATTAAAATTTTGACATTCTCTGAATTATTTAATAAATTAACCTCCACGTTAGGTCAATATAATCTTTTGTGGGTTAATTCCATCCGAGTTCCATTGTCTTTGGTGGCAATTTTAAATTTAGTGTCAGACTATCATTTTTGTCATTTAACATCTGAAACATATCATTTTTAGACACTTTTAGTCTTTCTTATGACTTTTTCTATTTTTAGTAAGGGCATTTTTGTCTCTTCATATTTTCTTTTGTTATTTTTCCGTTGTAACTGATTTAATTGGTTTAGGACTTTACTAAAAATCGGTTGACAAATATGATTACTAAAAATCAGAGGTTACCTAAAGTTCTAAACCAATTAAACCAGAAAAATAACAAAAGAAAAATATGAATAGACAAGAATGCCCTTACTAAAAATAAAGAAAGTCATGAGAATGACTAATAGTCTGGGATGTAAAATGCCAAAAAAGATAGTCTATGACTAAATTTGGAATGGTCACAAAAAACAAGAGACCTCTAGTAGAATTAACTCATTTTTTGTCCATCAATTTGGTCACCTTTTCCAACGACCTACTAGTCAATATAATCTTATGTCGGGATGTCGTCCTAGCTCCGTTGACTTACTATAGCATGTCACAGTTAGGGTTTTGAGCTTTAATACACTAAATTAATATGTTAATGTGTCTCTGGGAGCCTATATAATTGCCTTGTTACACAAAGTTAAATTGTGTATTTGACCCATTTTGAAAATATTAAATTGAAGTGCTAATACAATATAATTTACAAGTAATTACATCATGAAACATTTCAAGAACAATAAACAATACACACCCCCACAAAATGGTTAAAACTAAAATTTCAAAGGTTTATAGCATCAAGTAGATCTACTCATGATTAAATAATAAAAGAATAGCAGATATATATATATATATATATATATATATATATATATATATATATATATATATATATATATATATATATATATATGTAAAAGGAAGACGCCAACCACGACGAACTGTTATATATCCCTACTTCGATCTATCAGTTCATCATGTATGTTCAATGGTGATGATGATGAGCAACGTGGTGGTGATGATGAGCAGCGTGGTGATGATGATGAGCAGCGTGGTGATGATGAGAAGTGTGATTTCTTCTTCTTGAGTCGCCGATCTCTTCTAGAATTACTATAAGGGCAACGATGAAGGCTTGATCCACGTTTGGGTACAACGTCACCATGAAATTATCCTTTCCCAGGAATATACTCCCCGCCGTCACTTTCTTCTGCATCTGAGCAATTAAGGTAGAAGATGGTTTAACGTAGATATCGCACGTCGACTCCGAGTTGCTTGTCTTCATCTTATAATCGCAGACTTGTTCCGATGTGTTGCCGGCTAAGAACACGTCTAGGTTTGTGGTGAACTGGAACGCCGAAGATGTTTTTGCGCTGAAGATCAGGTCTTTCTCCTCTTTGCTTTCTCCCCTGTAAACTTCCCATCTGGTTCGCCATGTAAATGCCTGCATATATACATAATTAAATTAATTTGAGAATAATCCTCAGAATTGTTAGGTTTTTTCTCCAGTTAACGTGAGCGCAACTTCAACTAAGTTGATCAAACAATTGATTTAATTTGTAACCACAAAATTACCGTGCACAACCTCATATAATAGATGCAGGTTTTTCAGGTCACCCAAAAATATCAATGTATAGTAATGTTTTGAATCTTATATATATACCTTTCGTCGGATAGTGAGAATGGAGTTTCCGGCGGGATCAAAGACGACGATCTTGGTGTGGAAGAAAGTGGGGATGTTTTCGACTTTGAAGAGGATTGTGGCATTGGAGGCATCTTTAACTTCATATCCGTGGCCACCCATAAAGTAAACCTTTTTCTTGATTGAGATTTGAAGATGATGAGGGACACAGTATTCCGGGCTGATCACAACCAGGGGATTACCAAACACCGTTTCCGCCATGTTCGCTGCTAACTGAATACTGATCTGATCACCAGAATCGATCAAACACTTCAATTCCAATAATAATATCTCAGATTCTTGATTTAATTTTCTACTAATAGATGATACCTTTATGCATGTTGATCTTCGTCTATATATATATATATAAAAGCAGATAGAAGAATTTACGTGAAAGCAACATTAATGGCGGTGTAAAGAATTTTCAAAGCACTAACCAAGTCAAGTCAAATAATCATCAAGCTAAGGAAGAGAAATTGAAAGGAAACATCATGTATCGTAGGTTGTGGCTTGTGGTCCATCTATCATCTTCGTGTTAGGTACTTAAAAAGTATTTGACTTTTTATAAAAACAAATTTGATGTCAACGCAGATTGATTCAACTTTACATGTGTTATATGTAGGTGTAATATAAAGGCTCAGTGAATTTTCGTGGGGAAGACTTTTTAGAGTGAAATATTTTGTACTTTGTGCATTGATAGTTGTTCCTTGTCAAATTGTATGTCTATTTTACCCTTGTCGAGATTAGAGATAATTCTTCGTTAATTAACTCAAGAATAGGAGTACAGAAGATATCTAAAATAATCTATCTCTAACAACCCTGACTAATAGACTAGACTCACTATACACCACATGTTACACAATTATATTACATGGATATAATAAAGCAATAATAAGAATAATAATAATAATAATACTAACACACCCCCTCAAGCACAAGGTGTGGAAGTCACCACGTTGAGCTTGTCCCGCAGAGCACAGAACCGTGATGTAGCTAGTGGTTTGGTGAAGACGTCGGCGAGCTGATCAGTGGTCGAGACATAGTTCACAACAAATTCTCCTGAAGCGACTTTATCTCGTACAAAATGATAGTCAATTTCTACATGCTTTGTCCTGGCGTGAAATACGGGATTAGCACATAGGTAGGTAGCGCCCAGGTTGTCACACCATAATGTTGCAGGACCCCCTGAGTGTAGCCCAAGTTCCCGTAATAACGAGACAACCCATGTCACTTCGGCCGAGACATCAGCAAGAGCCTTGTATTCCGCTTCCGTGGAAGACCGGGCAACCGTGCGCTGTTTCTTTGACTGCCAAGAGATAAGATTAGTCCCAAGATAAACAGCAAACCCACTGGTACTCTTACGGTCTATCGGACAGCCAGCCCAGTCAGAGTCAGAGAAAGCGTGGATAGCGGAGGAGGATGACGGTGTGAGACGCAACCCATAATCCATTGTCCCCTTAATGTAGCGTAGCACCCGCTTAACGAGACCCCAATGCTCAACCGTGGGCGAGTGCATATGCTGACAGAGACGATTAATAGCAAAGGCAAGATCAGGCCGTGTGATCGTCAAGTACTATAACGCGCCCACAACTCGGCGATATTGCGTGGGATTATCAAACAACTCAGTCGACGGAGTAACCAACTTCGTCACAGCGGCAGGTGTGGTGAGTGGTTTGGAATCAATCATGCCAGACCGTCCCAAGATATCGGACATATAACGTCGTTGAGAGAGTATGACAGTGTCCCCTGAAGGAACCATTTCAATGCCCAAGAAGAAGCCTGGTGTGCCAAGGTCTCTAATTTTGAACACTGTAGCGAGCTGGTGTAGCAAGGTGCTGACCAATTTAGAATCATTGCCCATCATGATTATGTCGTCGACATAAACCAACAAGAATACCTGTGAAGTCCCGGACGTATAATAAAAGAGGGATACGTCAGTTTTGGATGAGATGAACCCTGCAGATAACAAGAAGTCATGCAACCGTTTGAACCACGCCCGGGGAGCCTGTTTCAAGCCATATAGGGGCCGTTGTAAAAGACAAACGTGGCCCGGTGTAGTCGGGTCCTCATACCCCGGTGGTTGCTTCATGTACACGGTTTCGTCCAGATGCCCATTCAGAAACGCATTATGGACATCCAGCTGTCGTAGTGTCCACTGTCGAGACACAGCTAGGGAAAACAACATACGAACAGTCGTTGGTTTGACTACAGGACTATAAGTGTCGAAGAAGTCCTCTCCTGCTACTTGGTTAAACCCTTTTGCTACTAAACGCGCCTTATAGCGCTCAATGGACCCAGTGGCCGTGCGTTTGGTCCTAAATACCCACTTGCAGCCAATGATGTTCATATGAGGTTACGGAGGGACCAAACGCCATGTATTGTTGTGCAAGAGTGCATTAAACTCTTGGTCCATAGCCTCGCGCCAATGAGCATGCCCCACTGCCTGAGAATAGCAAGTCGGGTCAGCTACAACATTTAAGGCATGAAACGGCTCATCTGTCCCACGTGTCATGTGCCGGAGTCTCATGACATGATCCCGACTCTGAGGTTGAGCCCGGGGTTTACGTGGTCTGGCTGGTGCGGTGTGAGTAATAGCCAGCCTGGGGGGTTCCTGTGCAAGTGGTACTGGATTACCACTAGAGGAATCAGTACGTGGGGCTACGGGAACCTCAGATGTAGCAGATGATTGAGCAACAGGTATAACCGCCCAAGGTAGGGGCGGTGGTGTACACTCTTGTGGTGTTGTGCCTGTAGCAAAGGGGAAAACATTTTCGTTAAAGCGGACATGCCTGCAAATGTAAGTCTTTCCACTTGTCAAGTCAACGCATCGATATCCCCTAAACGAAACAGGGTAACCTAGGAAGACACATGGGGTGGTCCTGTACTCAATCTTATGCCGATTGTAGGGGCGTAGATGTGGGTAACAGAGACACCCGAAGACCCTTAGGAAAGTGTATGGGGGATTGACTTTAAATAGTTTAGAGTACGGGCTTTCAAAGTTTAGGGCTGAAGAGGGTAAGTAGTTTATGAGGCAGGTGGCTGTTTCAAAGGCGTAGTCCCAATATTCACGTGGAACTTTGCCTTCGGCGAGTAGAGCTAGGCCAGTTTCGACAACATGTCTGTTTCGCCGCTCTACTTTACCGTTTTGTTCATGCGTATAAGCGCAAGATTGCCGATGATTTATTCCAAGACTTTGGAAAGTGTGGTGGAGTTTACGATATTCACCCCCTAGATCCGATTGGATTGATTTGATAGAGCGCGAAAATTGGCGCTCTACCAGAACGCGGAACACATCAAAGACTTTATATAAATCTGATTTTACCCGAAGTGGATAAAACCAGCAAAAACCGGAATAGTCGTCTACAAAGAGGCAGAAATAACGAAAACCACTAACTGATAGTACGGGAGAGGGACCCCAAATATCAGTGTACACTAAGTCTAATACAGATTGACTAGTTCGTGGTACGCTTTCTAGTTTGAAACGTGACGATTTTCCTAAATGACAAGAATTGCAGGAATCAATTTGGCTATTTTTATTATGTGACACAGGACAAATTTGTAACACTTTATTTAGAGCCTTCTTGTGAGGGTGACCGAGTCTTTGATGCCATATTGTGGGGGAGGCCCGGGAACTGACGAACGCGAAACTTGACCGACACACCGGAAGCTTGTATAGCCCGCCCGATGTGGACCCTCTAAGTAGAACCGCCCGCGTTGTGGAATCCTTCACAATAAAACAATTACTGTGAAATTCAAAAAAAAACATTATTATCGACAGTAAACTTATGCACAGATAATAATGGGACCGAAAGACTGGGAACATGTAATATGTCTTTTAGATTTAGATTTTTGGACACGGATGGGATTGATGCTCGACCGATTCGTGTAATTTCCAAACCTGCGACATTGCCCACCCGTAACACGTCCGAACCGCCATACTCCTCGGAATGCCCCATCATTGCCGCATCAGGAGTGGCGTGAGCTGTGGCACCAGTGTCCGGATACCAATTGTCTGCCGGAACGGGGTGAGGGGCTGCCGGCGTGTCGCCGGAGATGGCCACATGGGCTTGCGCCGGCGGTTGAGTGTTGTAGCGCTTGTAGCAATACACGGCGGTGTGACCGTGCGACCTACAGATCTGGCAACGAGGTCCGCCCCGGCCACCGCGCCCACCGCGCTGTCCTCCGCGGTTCCAGCGACCACCACCGCCGCGCTGCTGGTTCGATGAATGGCGACCACCACCGCCATGCGAACCACTGCCTTGCGATCCTCCGCCACGGTTGGTTCCAGCGTATAACGCCGTGTGAGAAGTCGCGGCATCA